CGCCCATGCTGGTCACCCACCTGTATGAGGGCCCCCAGCCCATGGGCACCCAGTGCTATGAACTGCCCCCTCCTCTCCCCCAGCAGCCCTATGATTCCCCACCTCCCCCTGGCCACTTATCCCTAGGACTGTTCCCCGGCCGGGGGGTGGGGAGGGGGGGCAGTGCTTTTGGGGTGCCAAAGGGGTGGGACAGAGCCCCCTCCCCCAACAGTCCACCCCGCAGCCAGGCTCTGTATATGCGTGTGTGCGAGAGAGAGCATGAGAGTGAACATGCTTGTGCACCCCCCCACCGAGCCCTCCCTCCCCACAGTTGACCCTACCCAAGTGACCAGTCCAATGCCCCCAGGTGCCCCCCCCTCCCCCTGACTCCTACTGGTCACCCATCTCTGTGACCCTCCCTCCCCATGCCCCCTTCCACCTCTGAGGTCCCTTGCAGTCTCCCCTCCCTAGGTTCCCGCCCACCCCCCTGATCATTCACCCCTAACAACCCCCCATTCACCGCCCCCCGCACCCCACTACAGTCCCAGCCACGCACCCAGGCGGCTCCAGGAGACGATGGGCCGCGGGTGCCCGGTGGCGATGCACTCTAGGATGGCCGTCTGGTGCACCGTCAGCGTCAGGTTCTGCGGCCCCGACAGGATTGTCGGCTCCTGGTCGTGCCTGGGGGCAGTGACTGCACCATGGGGCAGAGGAGGAGGCGGGGTGGGGGGGTGGTCATGGTCACCCCCTGCCCCCCCCTCCCCAAATCACTCCCTGGCTGGGCAGGAGCCCAGGCCCAGACCACCCCGCTCAGGTGCTCACCGCTCAGGCCCAGCCAGGCCTCCCGGCTGCAGCGTGCACCCGCGATGTTGGTGGCCATGCAGCGGTAGGCACCCACGTCTGCGCGCCGCACGCCCGTAATCTGCAGGACGCCGGCCGGCAGCAGCGTGAACCTGGGGGTGGTACAGCAGGGCTGGTGGTGGGTTCCACAATTCCCTGGGCTCCACTGGGGACAGCCTGGGGCTCAGGGTGGGTGCCTCAGTCCCTTGGGCAGTGCGCAGTGCTCACCTGGGGTTGTCGGGTGGCAGTGCTGTGCGGTTGCGCTCCCAGGTGATGGTGGCCTCAGGGACGCCCTGGATGAGGCACTGGAAGCGTGCCACACCGCCCTCCTCTACTGCCATGGACTCGGGGTGCATGTGGAACCGCGACAGGGCTGGGGGGGCCGTGGGGGGTAAGGCTGGGGTTGCACTGAGCCTCCCAGCCCGGCCCTGGGGGTCCCCACACCCCCGAGCCCCAGCCAGCTCTTAGGCAGGGGCACGGGGTCAGCTGCATCCCAACCCTAAGCCCATCCCTTGCCTGCACTCACTGGCCAGCTGGACCCGGGCCTTGCGGCTGAGCAGGAGCCCATCGCGGTTCTGGGCGGCGCAGCTGTACTCGCCGGCGCTGGCATCCGTGGCGCCCCCAGCGTGGGGCCGGCGGTGCAGGCCAGCTCGGCCGCGCGGCCCAGCCCTGTGCAGAGGGGTGCCCATCAGCCGCGGGGCCCACGCCGAGGCCTCTGAGAGCCCCCAGCGCCCCTCGACCTCCCGGCCCCCAGGATCCTCCCCATACAGACGCAGGGTCCCGGGTGCAGCTGGGGGTCAGGGCCAGGAGATGCAGGCCCCTTCCTCCAGCAGCACGCTTCCCGCTCGGTTGCTCCCCCTGTGGTCAGGCTGTGAGGACGGCAAGGCCATGTGGGGCCTGCGGTACCAACAAGAGGCCTCTTAGGCTTCGAGCAGGAGCTGCCGGTGAAGCCCCCTCATCCCGTAGCAACCCGCAAGGCACCATCCAGTGCCTGGCATGGGCACGGGTATCACGGGGACCTGTGGCACGGACATGTGGCCCCCCCCCCCCGGGCCTGGGAGGGGGCATTTGGTCCAGCCCCTGCTGCATCTGAGCAGGATCGTCCCTGGATAAACCGTAGACAGCTCAGCAGCTCCTACAACCCCCACAGGACAGACAGGGGTTGTGGGAGCCCCCCAGGGAGACAACACAGCCGCCACGAAGAGGCCAAAAGCTCTCACACAGATGCCACATGGCCAGGCGGGATGTGGCATCTCACACAGTGGCACAGGGATGTGGCATCTCACACAGATGCCACATGGCCAGGCCTGTGCGCCGTGCCCCAGCCCTCCCCGGGCACAGGCGGGTACGGGGCAGCCCTGGGGCAGCCCTTCAGGCTGGGGGTGCCCAGGCTGGGGGGTGAGAGCTGGGGGCCTCCCGCCTGCGAGGCACCGTGGCGGGGACGTCACAAAGTTAACTGTTGGTGACAATGGAGCAGCAGGGGGGCGGCCTCGGCTTTGCCGGCCTGACATCTTGATTGATGCGGCCTTTCAGGCCTGCGTAGCAACTGCG